CCTGTGTTATTGTGTAGGGCCAAGAGCCTCTTCTCCCAAGTGTCCTGGCACAAGCAACTCCCCAAGAACAGAAACAGATGTTAGGTGAACGTCTGTTCCCCCTGATCCAAAACACCCACCCAGACCTGGCTGGTAAGATCACTGGCATGTTGCTAGAGATTGACAACACTGAGCTCTTGCACATGTTAGAATCTCATGAAGCCCTGCAAGCCAAGGTTGAAGAAGCAGTAGGTGTATTCAAGGCACATCATGCTAAAGATACAGATGTCCTTCAAGGCATGCAGGGGGGTGGACAACGCATGCCAAATGTGCAAATGTCCCAGCAGCCTCAGAGAGTACCAGATGGATCATGCCAAGTCAGACCTAGCTACAAGTTTTCTCAGACTCTGCGCAACCAGCCTTCTGCAGATGCACAGCAGGGCATTCAAGTTCTGGTATGTACACTAAATATTGCATAACAATAGTCCTAACTCGAAGATCATGAGTCCTTCTCTTGAGAATAAGATACTTTGTTTGAGTGGTATCCATATTCATGTATCTTCTCATGTACAACCGTTAAACAAAAAAATAATGATACTCCAGAGAATGACGTGTAGTCTGAAATGGGAAAGCTTTGCACCACAAGGAACAAGATCTATTGCTGGGTTTCAATTGACGTCATTACCTTCTCATGCGGAATGTTCATCAGCTGAATCCGGTCTGGTTGACAGCACATGGTGATCAGTGTTTAACCACCAGTTGGAGCAGATAATAAGATTCAAAGACTTTTATCAGCTGATTGAAACTCAGCAATACTGTTTTTTTTATCACCTGATAAAATCTTTGACTCTCATTTGTTTATTGGTTTAATTATTAATCAATTTATTATTTTATCATTACTAATATTCCTGTGTTATTGTGTAGGGCCAAGAGCCTCTTCTCCCAAGTGTCCTGGCACAAGCAACTCCCCAAGAACAGAAACAGATGTTAGGTGAACGTCTGTTCCCCCTGATCCAAAACACCCACCCAGACCTGGCTGGTAAAATCACTGGCATGTTGCTAGAGATTGACAACAATGAGCTCTTGCACATGTTAGAGTCTCATGAAGCCCTGCAAGCCAAGGTTGAAGAAGCAGTAGGTGTCCTCAAGGCACATCATGCTAAAGATACCTTTGCTCAAGAAGGACAGAACTGAAGATGAACAAGAACGATGATAGAGATAGACCAAGCAAGGTTCTCTTGCGATTCTTTATAAGTTCACTGGCTACTCGCATTGTATGTAACCTGGACTGCGCTAGGCTGCGTAACGAGTTCTACCTAGTTCCCCCTCCCCAGTGCGCCGCTACGCAGTCTAGAACTGAGCCCAAGCTGTTGCGCTCAACAACTTTGTAGAATTTGTCAAACGCAATGCTGCGTTTAGCCTGCGTCACATCCGGAATTTTCTTCGTATTTACGAAGAAAATTCCGGATGTGACGCAGGCTATGCTGCGTTCAAAACCAAATACATTTGCACAGAAAATGAATACCAATATATTATACAGTCAATGTCATTAACGTTGTCCACCGAAAAAAGACATGACACATTTACACATTTAGACTAAAAGATACATCACGTGTTTCATTATGTATTCTTTGCCTTGTGTGCGTCAACCTGAACTTTAAATGTAAAATTCAACTCGTGAATCGAAAATCCAGAATGCCCTGACCATTTAGTGAGGATTTAAGATGGAGAATGGTATTTCAGCGTTTGTTTTATGCCAGAACCTTCGAGTAAGCACTTGATATTTCTAAATGTCTAAATGTCTAAATGGCTAAATGGCTAAATGTCTAAATGTCTAGAGGTCTAGAGGTCTAAATGTCTTTCTTTGGTGGACAACGTTAATGACATTGACTGTATATAGGCTTCAAGCATGATGGCGATTTATAACATTCTCAAAGGAGTTCTAACTTTTTTATATGAAAAGTCTAACTATTTTATATGAAAATGCATTTTGAAAAGGATTGTGGTAGTTTGCATATGAAGAGACCTTAGAGTCGGAGATATGACGTGTCACGTTTGTTTGGAAACAGATTACTACTTGATAAATGTCGTCTATCGTTGGTAAATCATTAATCCAATATTGCTACACACTCTTAAAAGTGTCAAATTCAAGCGTGTAGATGCAGATTTTTAGTTCGATTCAGTATGAGTTCGTGAAGCTAAAGTATCAGTTTTTGTCGAAATATAAGTGGAAATCATGCCTTTTCTTCATTCATCTGAGGAGAAAAAACCATTGATAAATTCTACGCTAAAGAAAGAAGATTATAAAACGTTTGAAAAAGGACAACGACTTGAACAGACAAATGTTGAGGAAGAACCAGAAGGAACTATGGAATCAAAAGTTGAGCTAGCAATGCCTGGAGAAAAAGCTAAGGAAAAATATCGATATTCATCTGCAACGAAAATAAGAAATATAACAGACAGCGACCAAGAAGGTATTTCACAACAAAAACCAAAAGTTCCGACATTTTCGTACTCGAAATTTAAGTCGTCAAAGAAAGGTAGTTCTCTTATTGCGTGGTGGAGAGAGCTTGGTCGATGGTCGCCGGCAAAAAGAGAGGTGTTCAGGGCACTACTTCTCTTCAAATGATGGTAAAATTATAAGTTTCAAGTTTTGTTTTTGCAACACAGTGAATGCGTTATTTTGGTCACGTAATATGTATGGTCGAATGCTGTTACTCGGAGGTCAAATAAAATTTTAAGCGCATTTTCAACATTTAAAAAAAGCTTTAGTTTGAATTTTATTCTATTTAGAATGTTTATGGTAAGACATGCCGTAACATTGAAATGGCTTCCCATAAGAATGGTTATCGTATGAGTGGGAAACACGGTACTGACTTACAGCACGTACGCGGTACGACATGACGTAACATTGAAATGGCTTCCCATAAGAATGGTTATCGTATGAGTGGGAAACATACACTACTGACTTACAGTACCTACACGGTACGACATGCCGTGACATCGAAATGGCTTCCCATAAGAATGGTTATCGTATGAGTGGGAAACGTATGGTACTGACCTACAGCACGTACACGGTACAACATGACGTAACATTGAAATGACTTCCCATAATGGTTATCGTATGAGTGGACAACATATGGAACTGACTTACGGCACGTACCTGGTACGACATGCCGTAACATTGAAATGGCTTCCCATAATGGTTATCGTATGAGTCGACAACATATGGTACTGACTTACAGCACGTACACGGTACGACTATGGAACAATACGAGTTGATTAAGGTGGCTAAAATTAGTAACGGAAAGCTCCGACCAATAGCATTCAAAGCGCGCTAAAACAGACTTCTTCTCTTTGTAGCCATTTGATTGTTAAATATAAATTGGTCAATTGATTGAAGTTTAAAATATTGGGTGTGGCATGTCGATCGTCCTTATTATGCAAAAGTTATGGGGAATTCCCGAAAAACAGTTTTTCGGGTCGGTCTCAAAAAATCCCCCATGGATTTTGTCCAAACTTAAGGACGTTGTATTTTGAGTCATGCCCTTGCTGATGAGTGAGTTTCAAGGAATCATATCCAGCCGTTTTAGAATTATACACCGTGAAAAGATGAAAAAACTTACTGACGTTTCGGACGCTAGTCCTTCGTCGGAGTAAAAGAGAAAGAAGTGATAGAAAGGAGCGTATATATGATAGAATAAGACAAAAGAAACCAATGAGAGCAAGGTAGGCAAGGAAACAAACAATCAAAAGACAAAAGAAAAGGTTAGTTGAAAATAAAGCGTTCATTAATCCCGTTGGGACTAAGAGTGCCCAAAAGGTGAATAAGCCGCATTTCTTTGGTCTTGCGACAATCATTGTTGCCGTTAAGCAAAGAAAGACCGAAAACAATGAAGTCAGAAAGAGAATGGTTAGCTAAATTAAAATGGCGAGAAACTGGTTTGGTGGGATCGTTATTGCGAATATCATAAAGATGATTGCAAATGCGATCACCAAGACGGCGGCCAGTCTCGCCCACATACAAAAGATTACAGCGGGTACATTTAATACAATATACAACATTAGAAGTGGTACAAACAAAATGGTCAGTGATTTTAACAGTTGATTTAGGACCGACAACAGAAATGTGAGAGGCTATGTGAGGACAAGTATAACAACGTTTACGAGAACAGCGAAAAGTACCAGGTTCTTTGTTAGAGGGAAGAACTCCCTTGACCAAGAAAGAACGGAGATTACGATCACGTTTATAGAAAGTTTTTTCATCTTTTCACGGTGTATAATTTACCTTTTTATCATTACTGTTTCATTAGAAACACCGACGCAGCTCACACTAGTTTTTAGCTAGTTATATCGTTTTAGAATTATGAAGCCCCAAAGTTGGTTGTTGATTTTTAAAATTCATTTCCGAGAGAGCTCTAAAACAAGATCTGTTCAATATTTCGCCCTGGAATTTCGTATGAGAAAATTTAAATATGTTCTTTTTTATGGTGTTGAGTTTCGAGGCATTTGCTTATATCTATTTGAAACTAAAGTTCGGCAAATGTAGAGCATTTTCATAACAACATTCTCCGCACCTATAAGATTTTAGTTAATTCATATTCCTCGGGAACGCCTCCATAGATTTTTGTAAGAATTTCGGCACATGAGATACAATATATATACAACAAAATGCTACCATGTAGTATGATTAGTAAGGAAGAGCAACAAAGAAAGAACCAACACATAGCAAAAAGCAAAAACATTTTTTGCGTCTTGGAAGCGAAATTTGTTTCACAATCAGCAATGTTTCGCATGTGGCTAAACTGGGAAACAGTGAGGAAACCTGCCCGCAATACATGTTTCCTCGTTTAGCCAGGGTCTAAGGCTGAGCAAAGAGAACTCGAAACTGGAGTATTCTATAGTGTTTTTACCTTAGAAGTCCAAGACCGTAGACCTACAAAACTATGCACTAATTTGTACAATTTTGTTGGTTAACTTTTTCATGGATTTATGGTAAGCACTCTAAGTAAATACGCGATAAAGTTCAAGTGTAAATTTTGCTACAAATTGTTTTATGTTTACACGTGTTACCAACATTAACCTGCAAATAGTGAGACTAATCCAGGCAATTTGAATGGAAAAATATTTACAAATTAATGCAACATAACTGTCATATAAATACAAATATAACAAAAATACAATATAACTCTTTTGATTAATTATTAGAAACAAAAATATATATATACTGCAGACACGAGTGAAAAACGTCTGCGCATGCTTTTAATCCTTATGCAAATTAGTCAAAACATATGTAAATTTGACTTTCAAACATGACTGTTTGTAAATTGGACTTCACAAGATGCCAAAACTTAGTGTCCATGCTTGAAACTTATGGCTAATTCTTTCATATTGTGTTTGTTAATACAGTATCTTGGTCTGACAAAAGTCTACTATCGAACTTTTTTGTATACTTGAAGAAAACAACCATTTATTTTCTCATTCAAACTCTTCAAAATTCTCAATCTCGTACCCAGAGCCCTTATTTCTTACTGCGCATGCTCGACGAAATAATTGGGCTCTGGAAAACTCCAAACCGGAAGACCCAGATTCTGGGTTTCTTGCACATGCGCATTATGACAGACTAGGTAAATTCAAAATGGCGGACGATGTTCAACGAGCATGCGAATTTGCGCTTGGAAAATTAGGTTTTGAAGATGGTTTTCAGTTGAATTAACTCCGAAAATATCTATTGGATGGACATCAATACAATTTCCATTACAAAACCGGCAGACCTTTGAAAAATCCGGCCCTACAGGCTTTTTTGGTGTACTTAATTCGAGACGCCATCTTGTTTATTTTCCCTAGTACTGAAATTTTAACTTCCGGTATCTTTCTTTGTTCTCGAGAACCAATCACAGCACAGGAAATATTGGAGTTTTTCGTCGAGCATGCGCAGTAAGAAATAAGGGCTCTGGGTACGAGATTGCAAAATTCTTAGAAAACGTGCTTAAATGCACGCATGCGCAAACGTTTTTCTCTAGCGTCTATACTGCATAGATGACAACGTAAACTGAATATGCCGATAATATCTTGGGAAGATGTAGAGTAAAAAGGATAAATGAAATGAAATGAAATGAAAAAATGAAAAGTTAATGTTAATGTAAAGCTGATGCGAAGTGTTATAATCTATCGGTTTCTAAGTTAATGCCTAGCGAGATGGCTTGCTATACGAAAAATAGCTGGACGTATAGCAAGCCATCTCTTCCTACCTATTCGATCTTTCCGTATATATCTTTAAGCATATACCTAGCTAGATGTAGTCCATACAGCTATTTCTCGTATAGCAAGCCATCTCGTCCTACCTATTTGATCTTTCCATATATATCTTGAAGTATATACCATGCTAGACGTAGTCCATACAGCTATTTCTCGTATAGCAAGCCATCTCGCCCTACCTATTTGATCTCACCGTATATATCTTTAAGTTTATACCTAGCTAGACGTAGTCCATACAGCTATTTCTCGTATAGCAAGCCATCTCGCCCTACCTATTTGATCTTTCCGTATATATCTTTAAGTTCATTATACCTAGCTAGACGTAGTCCATATAGCTATTTCTCGTATAGCAAGCCATCTCGTCCTACCTATTTGATCTTTCCGTACTTCAGTAATTTCAATTTTCAAACATTGACAAAGAATTCCTTTAGCACTGCTACTCTGTGCCTTTAATTGTCCAGTATCTTTGTATTCTTGCCACAAGGTAAAGAGACCACACTGTCCCCTACCATCGCTGTTGCTGTAAGATAACTTAGCTCCTCCAAAGTAATCCTCAGGTGCGCTAACTCCACCAGATTCGACAATTAGCCTAGAAACACGTGCTGGAGTATAAAAATGCACTAAAATGTAGTCTCCTATCTTGATATTTTTACCCCAGAACATCCCATGGAAAGTAGTGTCATACGCAGCTGTGATATTGTGTCTGTTATAGCTTATTATTGATGTATTGACTTCAGCATGAGGATTGTGACTGTCTTTGTATATCCGATCGGTAGTTTTAATGTCTTCAAGCGGGCGTACTTGGCCAACGAGAGATGAAAATGTGCCCACATGACGAAAGATTGGGGGACGACACCTTGCCCAAGCAGGATTCCCATGCAGATGGAAATCGTTGAAATATCGATTTAATATATCAATAGGTAGTACCCAGAAGAAAGATTTGACAAACATTGACAATCGACCAATATCAGTGGTTCGATACATTATACCAATGAATCCTCGCGCACCAAACTCTAATACCGACCACGCTCTCTTCTCATTGGTTGTTATGAAATTCTTAATTGCCTTGAGGTATCCTTTACTTGTTGAGATATCGTCTTCGATCTGAAGATAGTATTCACCCAAATCTTTGGAATATTCAAATAGGAATGCGTAATCTAAGCACTGCTTTGATCGCCATTTTACTCTCTCAGGCGAGTCTCCCCACAGTCGCGGAAGGTTCTCGAGGCTTGGGTAAAACGACCGAGGCGCCGTGACCACCCGTAGTAGTCCAGAATTCATTTCGTTCGCAAATGAATCGGATATTTCTTTCCGTATGCTTTGGATAACAGTTGTATTGAAGTCTGTTATGAAGACTAAGATAAGGACTTCGCTTTTCTCATGTTCTTCCAATCCTTCCACTAACTCTTTTAACGTTTGGCTGAGGTAGCTGGCCGCTTTTGGTCTCCTAACTGTCGGAACACCGATCACAAGGAAAGCTGAAAGATGAATTGAAAGAACTGTAACTGTTTTTGACTTTAACCTTATTTACTATTTTAACTTACCTCGGGTTTTAGCAGCTTTTGTTATGTTACTTTCACCAAAACCTGGAATAATTTTTGAGTCAAAGTATGAGATATTAAGACAACGCATTTTGGATTCCACTCGACTCTACTGCACTGCACTGCACACTGCACACTGCACACTGCACACTGCACACTGCACACTGCACACTGCACTCCACTCCACTCCACTCCACTCCACTCCACTCCACTCCACTCCACTCCATTCTTCTCTTCTCTTCTTTTATATAATAACCATTTTAGATATTTTAAANAGATATTAAGACAACGCATTTTGGATTCCACTCGACTCTACTGCACTGCACTGCACACTGCACACTGCACACTGCACACTGCACACTGCACACTGTCCACTCCACTCCACTCCACTCCACTCCACTCCACTCCACTCCACTCCACTCCATTCTTCTCTTCTCTTCTTTTATATAATAACCATTTTAGATATTTTAAAATATTTATAAATCACGTACCTGACGTTTTGACAGCTTTTGTCGTGACACTTTCACCAAACCCTGAAATAATTTTTGAGTCAAAATATGAGATATTTAGATAGCGCATTTTGGACTCCACTCGACTCTGCTGCACTGCACTGCACGCCACTGCACTCACACTGACCCCCACTGCGCTGCACACTGATCTCCACTGCGCTGCGCTCCACTCCACTCCACTCCATTTTCTCTTCTCTTCTTGTATATAATTACCATTTTTGATATTATGAAATATTTATAAATCACGTACCTGACTTTTTAGCAGCTTCTGTCGTGACACTTTCACAAAACCCTAAAATAGTCAAAATATGAGATTTTATAAGGTGGGCATAAAAGACTCTTCTCGTAGAAACGAATGGATTCTTTCACAGTTCCCTACGCCATCTTTGAAGGTAGTCGTGCCTTTGTATCGAAGGCAGATGAACGGCGAGCTTGCAATGATAGAGGCATGTGAATAATTGTCCAAGGTTTTAAAAAAGGTCTCGCTTAGTTATTTTCGGACTTAATACCAACACGTACGAACTTCGTATCCAATAAAGGGTTGACAAGCTATGCATATGAGAAGCTGGAATTCCATTTATCGATGTGGAAGGATGTCTAGCACCAGGACAGGCTAGCACTGAGCATGCTCACACTCGCACATAGCTTTCTTCGGGTTATCAAAAGAATCAAGAAAAAAGATCGATTCATGTTGCATCAAATCAAATCAAATAAAAAATAGGATCCTAAACTAGAGAAGAATACTATAAATGAACATAAGAAGCATAAAAAGCTATGTTTAAATTTCTTCAATGAGAATGAACACACTGTATTATGGTACTGTGATATTGGGCAGTATATTTAGATGCAGTGGGCTATGTTCTCAGAACCAGGCCTAGACCAACTATGATTATTACTGACATTTGTAAATGTCGTTCTAACAGTCAAAATGTTGACACAAACTATTCTAAGCTGCAGTAGAATGCAATCCATATTACTAACTACAGGGTTCGTGCTAAAGTAAACACTTAAAATTCAAGGACTATTCAAGGAGTATACAAGGACCCAAAAATGAATATTCAAGGAGTGTGTTCAGCTAACTATGCCAAGGTTTTACACGGTGGTTGCACATGGCCGACTTTCAGGTTTTCCGATCTTTCTGACTAGATCTATTTCAGAACCATGCAAGTAGAGCTAGTACAAACACTAAAAGTGTGCAACACTTTGCACTATTTAGTAGTAAATAGTGCTAATTAAACAATAGAAAACAATAGGATTAGCATAATTTAGCAGTGTTTAGTGGTATCAGTTATGTTACACACTTATAGTGTTTGTACTCTAATGATCAAAACAAAAATTCAAGGAGTTTAAGGAGTAACACGAACCCTGTAACTATTAAAAACTAGTACAAAATAGCACCAATGAAACAATTGAAAGCGAAAGAGATAGATGTGTTTAGAGCTATTCATTCTTTGTGCTATTTCACGGATATATGGCTTGCATTATTTTGCGCATAATTTCTGAGCCATGCTATATTTTCTAGCCCACCTGTAGGGAACACTAGCTAGTACAAGAATGTTTAGATATCAGAAACACGAAAAGGAAGATTCTTCGTTCAGGATCCATGATACGAAAAATCAGTATCCTAAGCTTTTGCTTTCATGTCCTTCCTTCTCGACTTTCTTCGCCAATATTCTAGGTATAAAATAAGTATATTTTTTACTACTTTGGGCTTGTTTTTAGTCTGTCTAGTACTTGGCAAGATTGTAGATAAAGTCTGTGTAGAATGACAATTTGATTCGCTGTTTTAGCGCTTAAATAGGAATCATCTTTCACTGTCTTTAACTCTGCAGCTCGATCAGGCGGGAAAGAATAGATTCATTCACTTTCAAAATTAGCTTATTTTTTATCCTTACCTGAAGTCTTAATCCAACCAACCAGTAGTACGTTTGCAAGTAATATAAAGACGATGCCGAATAGCAAGAATTTAGCCAAAGTCTTCTTTGATCTACGCATTTCTTTTAGTGAAAGCGTATACTGATGAATAGTGGATATTGTGATAGCAATGGTTTGTGATCACGAGAATGCGACAGCCGGAGAGCAGCAATGAAAATGATGCTATGTCTAAAGATAGACAAAAACCCCATGCTACGAAAGCTACGAAAACTAACAAAAAGCTAACAATGAATCTGTATAGAATTATTTGTGACCCAGAGGTACTTTTTCATTACGACTGACAACAGGTAGTCCTAGCTCCGAATGTATGGGAGCTTGAGAAACAAACTTGCAGCGTGCAGAAAAACAAACTATTAAATGATTGATTCTAAAAGTAGCATTAATGATTCTAAAAATATCATCAAAGTGTGCACATGATGGGGCGCGGGGATTCCTTCTCTTAGTTCATTTTCTCTTGGTATAAGTGTTTTTTAGTAAAAAATACACAGGTGATTCTTGAAAATCTCGCGCGCTGATTGGTCGAGAAACTCACACTATCACACGATAATCGCCTCCAGCGATAAWCCAAAATGGCGTCCAGCCGCTTTGTTGCTGTTACCGGAAAAAATGCTTTTTATCTTCTTTTTTTTTTTTTTTTTTTTTTTTTTTTTTTTTTTTTTTTTTTTTTTTTTTTTTTTTTTTTTTTTTTTTTTTCTTCTTCTTTTTTTCTTTTTTTTGGAAGAATCACCTGTGTATTTATACTAAAACAATTATTTGCCTCAGCCTCAGTGAATATCGGAGAATGTTTACCTCGCCGCTCGAAGACTCGTGTCTTGGTAATTATTTAAAGGAGGCATTATTAAATATACAAACCTTTTCTGTAGAGGTAAAATATCCTGCGGGTATAAACCTTGATATCTCCAAGGTGCATCACTCAAACCATAAAATGTTTTTTTCATTCAACTATTTACTTTTTTTAGAATCAATGCTGAAAATCAGCTAGGTGTCATAGGCACTTTTAGCATTTTGTGAAGTCGTTTCGTAATTTGTCAAAGGCAAACCTACTGGACAAAAGTACTGCAGTTTATCTCTAACTTCTTAAAGAATTTAGAAAATATATAACGCTAACAGGTATGACATACATCTAATTAAGTACAATTGATTGTTTAAATTCGAAAATATATTAAGTTTAGCTGCTTATTGTAAATAGAAAAATGTCATATCTCACTCGCAATGATAACAATACAATAATTTATTTAATATAAAATACAAAAAATGACAAATTAACAAATCAAAATTAATGATTGCTAATATCAATAAAAAATAAACCAGCATTTGATAAATTCTTAATACTTAACATTCCTAACATAAGTAAGTTAAACTAAACTAGAAAAGCAAAAAACTTGAACATTCCAAAAGCAATTAAAGATTGAAATCAAATCCCGTTCAAGACTCAGTATTTCAATTTGCAGCTGCATAAGCTGCTTCATATACTGCGAAGATCAGCTCAATTTGATACATCACAACCGCAGTACAAATATATAGTTCATATATATTCTCATACACATAAATTATTATTAATGATGTGAAAGTAATGCATGATAAGATAACCCTGGCCTGACCCCGGCCCGCTTTGTGTTTTGTGCTATTTCACGGCTATAAGGTTTGCAGTCCATTTAGCATAATGTTTGAGCAACAACGCTATATTTCCAAGCCCATCCGCTGGGTCCGCTAGATGATGACTAACCGAAAAGGAAGATTCTTCGTTCAGGAATATCCATGATACGAAAAATCAATATCCTAGTAAGCTTTTGCTTTCCTTCTCGACTTTCTTTGGCAATATTCTATTTTTTACTGCTTGGGTCTTGTTTTCAGTTGAATGTGCGAAATGGCTTGCATTCTTTTTTGGCATAATTTTTGGGCCATGCTATATTTCCTCGCTCATCTGCTGAGTTCGCTAGATAATACCAGCATATTTAGATAAAATGTAACACGAAAAGGAAAATTCTTATTTCATGATGAAAGATACGAAAAATCAATATCCTTCTAAGGTAATTTTGCTTTCCTGTCCTTCCTTCTCGACTTTCTTCGCCAATATTCTAGGTATAACATATGTATCTTTCTTACTACTTTGGGCTTGTTTTCAGTTGAATGTTTGTAATCTGTCAAGTATTTGGCAAGATTGGAGGTAAAATCTCGTGTTTGGAATAAACGGAAGATTCGCTTCGCTGTTTCACTGTCTTCCCTGGAGCTCGAACCGGTAGGAAGGAAGAATATTATTTAACTGTTAAAATTATTTTTTTCTTATTCTTACCTGAAGTCTTAAGCCAAACCGTGATGTTAGCAAGTATTATAAAGAAGCCACCGAATAGTAAGCATTTGGCTAAAGTTCTCTTCGATCTACGCATCTCTTTTGGTGAGGAAGGTCAGCATACAGCTATTTCAAAAAACGCGTTGAATCATACTGATTACTGCACCAGAGGACACTCAAGAAAAACGTTTGCGCATGCGTGCATTTCAGCACGTTTTCTAAGAATTTGAAGCGTTCGAATGAGAAAATAAATGTTTGTTTTCTCCTAGTATACTGTTGTCAGATCAAGATACTGTATTAACAAACACAATATGAAAGAATTAGCCTTAAGTTTCAAGCATGGACACTAAGTTTTGGCTTTTTGTGAAGTCCAATTTATCAGGCACGTTTATCAGACGTTTTTCACTCGTGTCGATTAGAGCCGCAGTTTTCGTATGACTGTGAAAAGCTCAGTGCCGTAAGCGTGACGTGCCATGACCGTGATGCTTTCTAGAATTTTAATTGGCTGATTTTTTACACGCGCAATGCGATTGGTCTGGCATTGCCGTGACCTTTGCGTGACCGTGTCCGCGCCGTGTTTATGCCGTGTTCCGGGTATTTGATTGGATGGAGAGTAAATTCTCGTGCAATGTGATTGGTCTGGCGTATCCCTTGCCGTGTCACGACCGTGTTCGTGCCGTGAATTTTTCACAGTCATACGAAAACTGCACTACTGCACCAGAGGAGGTTGATCAAGTGGCACGTGACCTAATCGACCAATCACAATCACGATCACAGGCAACAAAAAATATCACAAGAATTTCATAGTCGTCGTTAGTTTAAGAACCATTACTTTCCCTTCATATTACTTATCATAACCTCATATTTTTTAACTGTTGCATGGATTAATGGCAGTAATCCCTGTACTCTGACTGCATACTGAATAGTTCATTCCAAGACCCAAGTGCATTGTGGGTCATAGTGACGTTGTCTAAAGTAGGATCAATAATCATTATTTATTCTATTTTTAGTGTATTCCATTTGAAACAATATACTAACTACACGTAGAGAGTTAATTGCTGTATATTTACTTTTTATTTCAAATTACTTTTGGTCTTGTAATGCACTATTCAGTATGCAGTATTCAGTATTCAATATTTTTTGAAATAGCTGTATACTGATAAATAGTATATAGAATGATACAGTCAATTCAAAAAACGTTGTAATCGACCAACCTTAAGCCTACGTGACTGGGCCGACAGGGATACTGAGTAGAAAGAAGAGAAAATGAACTAAGAGAAGGAATTCCCCCTATATAGCCTTGTAACCCTCGAAGCACAGGAGAGAACCAACCAACAACTCTACTCACATACTACACAGGAGAGAACCAACAAACAACTCTACTCACATACTACACAGGAGAGAACCAACAAACAACTCTACTCCCATACTACACAGGAGAGAACCAACAAACAACTCTACTCACATACTACACAGGAGAGAACCAACAAACAACTCTACTCACATACTACACAGGAAAGAACCAACAAACAACTCTACTCACATACTACACAGGAAAGAACAAACAAACAACTCTACTCACATACTACACAGGAGAGAACCAACAAACAACTCTACTCACATACTACACAGGAGAGAACCAACAAACAACTCTACTCACATACGACACAGAACCTGGCGGGAATCCAATCTGGGTAGCATTGATGGGAGGCGAGCGCTCTCACCGCTACGCCACCCATGCTTCACATACGCCACCCATGCTTCCCATATGAAGACACTATATGGATTAACAAAGATACTGTGCAACGAAATACTCAAGCAAAGCACAGCAGTGGAGAATAAGAATGGAAACTTTCTCAGCATGAAAAGCGAAGTACAGGCTACATGGATGGAACACTTTAAAGAGGTGCCGAACAGAGAACAACCAGCAAATCCAATAACCAGCGAGGAGGAAAATGGGTTTGAATTTAGTGCAGTAATGGAAGAGATAGCTGTCAATGAACCAACTATAGGCGAGGTAAAAGAAGCAGTCAAGAAACTGAAGAACGGGAAAGCACTGGGAATCGACAACATCACAGCAGAGTTACTGAAGACCAACGTTGAGTTTTCAGCACACGTGATACACTAGCTACTGTCGAAGATATGGAAATATGAAACCATTCCAGAGGCCTTAAATCAAACCGTCCTGTGGCGAACTCGTGGTAATACTAGTTGCGCTATTTTTAGAGATTTCACATTTTAAATATTCAATTTAGCTGGTGAGATTAGAAAACGTCCTTTTATTTATTTTCCTTTTAACACCTACTTTGTTTAGTTCTTTGATATTTCGTTGAGTTTGGAAGCGAATTCTGTGATGAATTACACGTCTGAACTTCAATTACGAAAGACGTCTTCCACTTCGATGAAGTCAATTGATTTTTACAACCCAGGGCCCGGTTGTACGAAGCCTAGATAGCGCTATCCAGCGGATAAATCCTTATCCAGTGGATAAGTCGATGCTGTAAACCAAAATATATTTATCCACTGGATAAGATTTATCCCTTGGATAGTGCTATCCAGGCTTCGTACTACCGGGCCCAGGATACCACTTTTTGATCCATTGAGCATGCGCTTAGAGCAGTAGCGCAAAATTCTTGATGCATGTACACTCAATAAGCCTGAAGCGAGATGACGTTTTACCCCCGACTCTTATACCATAATAGTTTTTTAAATTCTTTCATATTAAAATGTTTGATTCCTTAGAGAATATAGGACAATAGTCATAATTAAAGAACAAACTGAAAGCAGTGTAAAAAGAATTATGGTCTAGAGACGGGGGTAAAACGTCATCTCGCTTCAGGCTTATTGAAGAATCGTTGTCGGGTTCAGAAACATAGAACATAGAAGCTGAGACTGAAATGGCACATGGGAAGTACGTTAATTAAATGCATGATGTGACCGGCGACCCGTGGCATCATCCACTGTTTTTAATACGCGTTTGGCATCCTAAACCGACTGCATGGATGGCGCAAATAAATAAATAATAATATAATTATGTCATTTCCCAACTGCCATTTCGGTCTCAGCTTTTATGTTCTATGTTTCTGAACCCGACAGAGCTTGGGCTGCGTGTGGATTTGACTGACGTCACGCTTAAAAGCTCTATAGAGACGTCACCTTAAAGGTTGTTTGATTAGCTGCAAGTTACTAACTAGATCTATATGCTTCTGATGCTGGAAACACATTTCATCGAAGAACAATGGCGATCGAGCTTCTTTCATTCAAACAACTTCAAACATTTAACAATAACGACAAAGCTGACATGGAACGAACAGAGGCCGATAAAAATCCACGCTTCACTGGTAAACTATAAGAAAAAATATGTATATGATTTTTGATAAGTTACTGAATATTTGACCAAGACATAGTTAAGATAGGTTTTCAGTGATATTGGTAATAGCATGCTCATGGGCTAGAGTCGCCGTCCGTATGATATTTCTACTATACTTCTCATAGAAGCTTGATACAGTCACTCTTTGACCAGGAATCGTTACTTAGATTTAAATTCAAATTTAAAAACTTACATGCAGCTAAGATATGAACCGGGTACCAAAGAAGAGGCCTCAATCTTCAATTGAGTTTCGACGAGTCAGCCAAAAACTCCGTAAAATAGTTTAAAATGAAATCAATAAGTTTTCAAACAATAATAAGGAATCCTGTATTCAAATGCAATGCCTGGATTGGAACCACAGCCGAACATTAAAGCAAGGCTGCAGTAACATAAAAAATGTTTTGACTACACTATTAAGCATAAGTCTGCTGATCCGAGGAAAGACAAACGCGTCAAATCGAGCAAAGACAAACACATCAAATTGAAATCTTAAGCAGCTGAGAATCGCTTGAAGTTTATCTAGCAAAATATGGAAAGTTAAACTAAGCTTTTCTAGAATTCAGTGCAAATCGGTAAACTGCGCGCAAAATGTTTATTGGGAAACCTACTGTTCTAGGTTTTTGTTCGACTTTATCCACATAAAATCAAACAAAACCAGAACTTTTATTAAACAATAAATTCGTCTTTGTATGATGAATGCAAGGGTGGATACAGCCAAAATTTTAAGGGGGGGGGGCTAATTGAGTTTAGGGGGGGGCTAATTCAGTTTCTTCCGTCAACACAACTGAAAA